AATGGATTATATATGCATTTTTTTGTGGGCAAGATGCTTAAAGGAAATTTATGACAAGTTGTTGGCTGAAATTTCTGTCTATTGTGACTTCAGCCGAGAATCGAGTAAATGTACTTTTGATCACCAAGCAGCTTTAGATACAAATAATCACCAAAAAAGAATACTTTTGATCACCAAATTTTTCAGCACGCATTTCACATTTTTATTTCTCAACAAAGTACAATGTATAACACAAACAAATTCATTAAGATTTTAACCAAACGAACAATATGTTTACAGTTTTATTTATATCCGTTTAAAAAATTTAAAGCTGTGCTAACTTTCTTGGGACGCCCTTTTGCTTTTCGTTTGCCTAATGGTTGAATACATGTTTTATCGCTAACTTGATACAAGTTAAATAAAATTTTGCTAATCCAACAGAATGTTTACACGAACATACTATACAGTTTTATTTATATGCATTTAAAAAATTTAAAGCTGTGCTAACTTTCTTGTGACGCTCTTTTTTTGGTGGTCAAAAGTATCCTTTTTTGGTGATCATTTGTATCTAAAGTCTAAAGCTGTTTGGTGATCAAAAAAATTGATATCCCGAAGAATCAGTCTCATGACTCCTGGCTGAAATCACAAGACAGAAATTTCAGCCAACAATCTTGAGATAAAAATGCATGTATAATATTTGTAAAGATGATTGGCTGAATCTTGCCATAAATACAACAAGAACTGGATCACTATCCATCCATACGTTGAAAGAAAAAATGAAATGTAAGCACGTACAACGTGTTTCTCACGTGAACTATAGCCTACACAGAAACTCGTGCTTTTTCTTTTCTGTCGCTACACAAATAAGGGAACTTCCTAGTCCAACATCTTGGAACCAAGATCTTGCCCAAGATCTTACGCTAGGATTTGGCACTAGATCTTGAAAAAATGCGTACAAAATCTCAAGACATTTTTGTACCCAAGATCTTACGTAAGACCTATATATATATTTCTTGATATCTCGTATCCAAGACCTTGAACATTTGAAAAACCGTCATATTCCAAAAATAACTTTTTCCTTGGCATTTTTTCAAAAGGTGTTGGGAACAAAAAATATTCACCGCTTAGTGATGAAAATTTCATCCGCTAGGATGAACGATCCCTAATGCCTCCCTCATGGGGTTTTGACTCTACTGTCGACGAAAACATAGTGACATTAGACACAAAATAGGGTGTTCATATATAGGATGACATCGCCAAAATAAGACGGTGAATGATAACCAATGGTTACTCAAAGATCTTTGGTACAAGATGTCAAAATATTTCTGTATCAAAGATCTTGAGCCATGATCTTGAGTGCAAGATAATTTTTAGGATTTTGTACGCAAGATCATGGGCAAGGTCTTAGGAACAAAAATATCTTGACGTCTTGTACCAAAGATCTTGCCAAGATCTTTTCGAAAAAATCTAAGATGTCAAGATCTTGGTTCCAAGATGTTCGACCAGGACTATAATAATTAGAAACACAAAATATTTAAAAACCGAACTAAAATAAAGAAAATTCATCGCGCTTTCTTTCAAGGATCAGTCTCCACATCCTGTTTTACCTGCTTATTAATATAACTGAAGATCGCGACTCACGCCGTGACTTTCATCGTGCCATAACTTTGAAACGTTTTGATAAAAACTGTCATGTTGCGAGTCATGAAGCCGTGCGCGATCGTGATAAAATGCTTTGTGATCATGGAAAATTCTTACTTTCAATAATAAGAATATATCGGGACATCGAGGGGACATCAGGATTTTGTAGCGATCCGGGCGTGAACTAGCGTTTTTTACGATCGTGGTATGAGTGGGGCAAGAGTGTTGAGTTGGCGTTGGCGTTGGCTCAGAACTTTTTATAAACCGTGGTATGCTTTAGATAAATTTACCGTCCCATCAGTCTCGTTAAGATGCTCAATATCACGACGTAACTTTTCAGCGTTTGAATGAAACATAATCCTGAGCTGTAATTGGATCATTAAACACTGAATAGGTCAAAAGTATTTTTCAAAACCCGAAACAGTTATAAATCGATTTATAACTAATCATTTATAAACATTTCATTTATAAACGCAGAGACTGTTTTATGTTTATCCAATGGTCGAAAATTTTAAACTCTTCAGCGTCTTTAAATCACTTGTACTGCTATTTTAGAATATATTACTATGTAATAACTGATTTAAAAACCCAACAACGTACTATTCATATTAATCTGTTCATCAACAATAGAACAATAAAATGATTTCTTTTGCAAACACATATAGACTAAGCTTAAGGTTAAGAGCTTTGTTTTCTACTTTTCTTTTCAACCGGTCAATATGTCAAAAAGGCAAAAATAGATTTCCAAAAGCCATGATCACAGATCATTATTTGCCACCATCCTTTTCTCACAATTGTTCGTTGTATATCAATAACTAACTCTAAAGCGTAAGAGAAAGAAGCTTTATTGTTGTTTATGTGTATCACACTATGAAGAAAACAACATGCAATTACCTACGTTTATTAATACACTCTGACATATACTATCCATTTCAGAATTTAGCTAGCATTACTACTCGTACGTATTTCGTCAGATTATTGGCAAATTCATTAAAATAGGGTAATCTGATGCATAGATTCTGAATATGGGATCAGAAAAACATTTTGTACTTCAGACCAAGCTTATAGAAGTATTGCTACTATATGATCTTCTTCTTACCAACAATATTCTGTTTTACATTTCTATTTCTCCGACTTTCTCCTATAATGATCTATTCGTTTAGTGGGAAAAAAAGAGTAAACACGTCGTTGTTCCCAATCATTACAAAAGAGTTTGTTCTTATTACACTAACCATCATAAGGGAAATAAGAGTGATAATTTACGCAAACTGTAACAGAGTTTAAGGCAACATATGTTATATGTCTTATCTACTGGAACAGAAACTACTGTTGAGCTGTGTTTCTCTGCTGGTGATGATACATCGTTCTCTAACCAGTTGTTATGCAGGTCTTTTTCTCATCAACGTACACAAACGAGGGATATTTGTTGGTATTGTCTATCCTAATTTATACGTTTTTTGTTTTCCTAATAGTAATACGACAAAGTCAATTCTGTTATGTCTCATCACCAAACGAGTAAATAGACTGTGTCCTATAATAAACAAATATAGCCTTCGTCAATTGTTACAAAAGTCAGATTATTAAAACGAAAATCATTAATTACTTGAAGTTTTGGAAGTATGTTGAATAGCATATATTATCATGTAAAAATAGAGTTGTAATGTCAATTTATCCTTCTGTTACAGTCGGCAAAAACTATTCAAAACATTATAAAAACTATTGGATATTTTTTATATACGCTCCAATTTTTATGTACGTATTTTCGAAGAAACCATTGAATCAATCGAATGAAAAAGAGAAAATCTCACCAAATGAAGTAAAGCATCGCTTCGTAGCAGAAAAGAAGATCGCTTCCTAGCGAGCAACTCCCAATCAGTTTTCCGAGGCGAGAACCCATTTTCGAGTCCTCGCCGTACCCCTCAAACGACTTTTCTCGTCTACATGGGCTGACTTGAATCGTTTTAAGATCTTAGTAAGATTTCACTTACATTTCTCTAAGATCTCAGACAAATTTTGCTAAGATCATGAAACCCGAAAATTCTAAGATTCAATAAGATTTTGTTAAGGTCTTACTAAGAAATAAATACTCAAAAATTTGTTTTAGCCGCATTCTAGTTTGCGTCTGCCGTCCTGGATTGTTAAAAACTACAGACGAACAGCCCTAAAGAAGGAAGAGAAATTTCATGTTTTTAGACATCCATTTTCAGTGTTACTTATATAGCTGTATGGGAGCACAATAAATGGGAAAATAAAAGTAGAGACATTAAATATTATTCAAATCTTAAATAAGACCTTAGACTATCGTGTCAAACTCTGAAAATGTAAGATCGTATACGATCTTAGTAAGATATATTTCAAGCAGTGCCTAAAATTTTTACTAGGGTTAATGTAAGATTAAGTGTAATTTATAAAAACCATAAATTTGTCAAAAAAATTACTAGATGATATTCCTGACCAAGAGAGAGATTTTGTCACCTGTTTTCTAATCAAAGAGAATGTTGCTTTCTTTATTCGAAATATGTGTATTTCAAACCTTTCTTTTGAGATTATTTGTCAGATTATAGTGTTATATAGCTGTTTGAGTTTGTTTGGGCTATCCGAAGAATAAAACATTTCATATAGTAACAGAAAGTGCAGACTAGTCGTGTTCAAAAGTCACTTATTTTTAATTGTTATCTTATTATTTAGCGTTGAAGAAATCTTCCCTCACTAATCCTAACTAATAATTTTTTTTTAGAAATTTTATTATGTAAGTAGACATTTTTGATAAACAGAAAAAACAGCTAACAGCAGTGTCGACTAGCAAAAACAGTGAATGGTGTTGGCTTGTAAAAACTTTGCATAGATCGTTGAAAAAATTGATATTACCTCTTAATATGAACAACTGATTAGGATAGTTGTTGATGTCCTTCGTATTTTTCTGATGGCGTTTATTTGAACATTGTGATAATAGTGGCATCAGCAGCAACAGCAGTTTTGAAGATGAAAGAAAGAAAAAAAATGTTGAAAACAAAACGAAAATGAAAAGCAAACAAAAAGATAGATAAAAATCTATTTGCATAGCATTCAGCAACAGGAAAAAGAGAAGCAAAATACTTCTAATTTATTTACTAAAAAAACTTGTAAAAGAAGAAAAAATTGTCAGTCGTACAGGTTGTCCATTCTTCAGCATATTAAAAAAAAAATGCTTCTCTCGATCTTCAGGTTAACAACAGAAAAAACAGGGCAAGGTTAAAAAAAGAGTTTGAATGCTATTATGATGAACGTTTAGTTTTAATTTAATTTTTGCTGCTTTTTTTTTATTATTGTTATTAACGTGACATAAACACACAAAAATGTCGTTTCTATACACGAATGGACATAATATATGATTGATGGTTTTATTCTTGTTGCGCTACGCCTGGTGGTGCTGCATAATTGGGTTTGTTTCTGAAAAAGAATAAAAAAAATACATTCAAACTTATGTTATTGAATTGAATAAAAGTATCAATCGAATACAATCAATTTTTTGCTATAATTCTTCTGTCAATTAATTAGTTTTTTATTTATTAAAAAGTTTAAAATTATTGACTTACGTCATTTGTGATCCGTCTTTGTTACCAAGATGTTCACCAGTATCCATTCCTGTAAAAGAAATATTTATATACGTAGAATAATTTAAAATTATTTTAATTCTAAATATTCATACCAAGTGTTCCTGCTCCTTGTCCGAAACCTAAAATGAAAAACAAAAAAAGTTTTTTAGTAGAAAGAAAAATTTAATTTCTTTTTTTATTATCTTCCCATATCCTTTGGGTCCAAATTTACGACCATAACATTGTTTACAATAAACATTGCCATCATGCTCAGCCATTGTCATTGCTTCTAACATTTTTTTGCATAAACCTAAAGAATATTAAAAAAATAATATTTAAATATTATCAATAGATAACAATATATTACATACCACATTTGAAGCACATTTTATGCCATTTTTTTCCAGCTGCTGGTACTTCTTCAGCTGCATAAACATTTTGATTACATTTTGGACATTTGGCATTTTCAACTACTTTGAACGGCATGATTTTAAATTAAATATGCTTATATTGTTGTTTCGAGAGATGTATGAAAATGTAGATAGAAAATCTAAAATAGATACACAATTTCGTCTAATATTAATCAAAGTCTATTTAAATTAGAAGGACAAAATATCCATGTTTAAATATAAAAAAACAAAAATAAGACATAAGATTATGATTTCAATTTAATAGATATATATATAATAGTTTATAATAATAAAAAAAAGTAGATAACTCAGCATATATGCAAGCATGATTAGAATGTATACTCATCCGAGGAAAAAATAGTATTATATCGAAAGAATAAAAAATCGAAGAGCAGAATAGAAAGAAATAGATTTCTCTTCAATGTTTCATAAACAATGAGTCCCTACAGAAAAAATAATGTATGTATCTTATATCGAGAAAACGCTGACATAATGAAATTTTATATTATTTAAACTATCAAATTAATAAATATCATTTCATTCCAATGATAGTGAATATCTCACGAAAGAATTAGAATAACAACACATAATAGACAGAACAGCTAACAGACACAAATTTAGAAATTAAAAAAATATAGACAGTAATTTTTTTGACTCTATTTAAAGTTCTTATTCCTGATGGGCTTGATTGACACCAGGAGGAGCAGCATAATTAGGTTTGTTTCTGAAAACAATAAAAAAAAATATCTTAACAAACAGAAATAAACTTTCTAAATTATTCTAAACTAAAGTCGAATTCATCCATAGATTCTATTATTCATTAATTATTTATCTTTATGCCTTAATTATTATCAAATTTGACATTTGTTTTTGTAGTTTAGATAATAAACTTTTAAACTTACGACATTGCTGTTTCCCGATTACCCAGATGTTCACCAGTATCCATTCCTAATGCACCAGCTCCGACTCCATATCCGCAACCTTTTGGACCATATTTGCGAGCGTAACACTGTTTACAAAAGAGATTTCCTTCGTGTTCAGCTAATGTCGTAGATTCTAACATTTTTTTGCATAATCCTACATTAAAATACAAAATATTTCAAAAACACCGTACTACATATTTTTCCTTAATTGAAAATCTATACAACCAACATATGGTATTTGAGAGATTAAAAACATGAAAGTAAGTACGTACCACATTTGAAACACGTTTTGTGCCATTTTTTACCAGCTGCAGATACCTCTTCAGCATGATAAACTGGTTGATTACATTTAGGACAACGTATAATTTGAATTCCAAACGGCATCTGAAAAACGACGGATTTAAGCAAGAGAAAAAAAAAAAGAAGAGAACAAGCAAACTATAACATGCAATACTGTCTCATTACGATCAATTACATTCTAAATTAGTACTCTAAATATACTGGACATTCGCGTAGCACTTATTTAGCATCAACAGATCTTTTCTCTAGTAAATTCAAAATTTTCCATCTAAATTCATCTTTAAAACTACATTGTCTAGTACATATGTATCAACAACGGTTTTTGATTATAATTGTAGTTGTCTAAGATATATATTTATTATATCGGATATTAACATCATAGAAATTCCTAGGAGATATATATCCAATATCATTAATTCTTAGTCTGTTTGAAAGCAAACATTTTGTTCGATTAGATAAATTTATATCATCAATTTTTAAATATTATGTAAAAATAATGAAAATGGTATTTTACTATTATTTTCCTTAAACGCACCAGCAATTTGCTCTTTAAAAATATTTTCTTTCATATAGCCGTTATTGGAATGCTGAATCTAATCAATTATTTAAAGTGCAGTGATATAATAAGAAAAAGAAGAATATTTGAACTACTCAGGTATAGAGGATGCTAACTAGCGAATTTGCTGAAGATATTTTAAAATATTGAATTATAATGTATTGATATCATGCATATGAACAAAAATACTAAAGTATAGTATATTACTACGTTAAAACGTACCACATTTAAAATACATTTTATGAAATATTTTTTCCAACTGGTGGTACTTCTTCTGCTTCATAGACATTCTGATTGTATTTTGGACATTTTGCGACCTCAGGCGGTTTGAACGGCATTTTTTCTATTTGACTAAATACACATAGATAAAATTTATCATAAATACTATTAACGGCTACGGCTCTCTTTTTCTATTAATATCAGAGAAAAAAGGTACTCAACCTGCTCGCTCTAATAATTAATTATTCTAACTGATTAGAAATATGGAGGACAGATATTATAAAATTTATTTTGTGACATTTATCGTTCATTTCCTTTCTTCTTAATAAGCTGTAATTTCCATTAGGCTATTTAACCTTTTCTAACGAATCAAACTCAAATTGTTACTTACTATGCTGAAAAAATCATTATTACTTACATATCTTAAACTGTAAGATATAAAAATTTAAAAGTTTGAAAAACTCACAAAGAAAAACTATGTTAAAGCAGTTGACTGCTGTACGCATTCATATATACACTGAGACAAAAAAAAATGTTGTAAAACATTTTATTATATGCATCACATATTTCGTCGTATGTTATAACAATAATATTATTATTCTCGCTCGGCACTAGTTCTTTCAACAGACTGAAACTGTAAGCACGTATATTACACATAGTATCTGGTCTTTTAGCACATATACACATAATTTTCTGTAAATATGTAGAAAATATGTAGAAAAAAAAGAAATAAGAGAAAAACCTGTGTATATTTGTATAAGTGTGGTGATGGTATAAACCAAAAAATCTATTCCTTTTCCGTTTGTATATATCTGCGTAGGGTTAAATATAGAAACAACAACAATATCGAAACAACCGTTGCCACTACGGCCTAAAGAAGATGTAATTCAAGCCATAGTTTCACTAAATTTAGGAAAAGAGAATGTGTACATATCTGCCTATTTCTTTCTTCTTTTGTGTTTTATTTGGTTTTTCCCAATTAGAGATATACACGTATATTTAGGAAAGAAAAAGAGGCGTCCCACAATTTTGTCTATTTTCCTAGTCTGATATTACACGTGTAGAGGGAAAAAACTAAAAAAAAAACGGGTAAGTAAATGACATTCATATTATCAATCAAGATTATGTAGAAGAAAAAAAGGAAAGAAATGATGTTGGTAATATATATGTCAGAGGAATGCACACATTTTTTACTTACTGTAATTATCATATACCTCTAATGATGGAAGAATAGAGCGAACGAAGGATTAGGAACGATCAGTACAGTTGTTTCCAATGATTCTTTCATAGAGGATATGAGAAGAAAAAGATTTATTTTGTGTGCATACAGTTGTCAGAGCTTACTTCTTACCTACGCCTATATCATATACAAGCTAAAGAAAAAGCTTTTTTTTATGAGATTTTTCTAGAATAAATCATTGGTAAATGTGTTGAGTCGAGATCATACTGATTCAGCTGATTTGTTCTTTCGCTAAATGAACAGGATATAGAAGAAAGTTATTTCATTTTTCATGATATTATATCACTGTATACTCTTCATTTACTGATAAAAGCCTCTTTTTTTTCCTCATTGATATTTACCTGTGCATGCGAAAAACAGAAAAACTTATACAGTAGTTGGATCTATGTTTGCAATAATACTGCATGTGTACACAATGTACGTTGCCAAGTGTATAGAGTAAAAAAGGATTATTTTAATATATTCTTGAGAGACTGTTACACTATTCTAATAAAATGACGAGAAAAAGGAAAAAAGAATATCGTCTCATAGATCAACAATATGCATAGATTCATGAGAGAGTTTGTCTTTGTCAATAGGAAAAAGTAGGAAAGTTAGAAGTATTATTAATTACAGAAAAAATATGCATGTTAACGAATTTTATCAATAAAAAGCACCTTTGTTCCGCTGTAACAAGCAGAAGTTCAAAAGTATTGGACAGCAGCCAATAACTAACTGTTCATGTTGACTTTCATTATCCAAAATCGTTGAACTCTTGAACAAAATTTATTCCTACAGTAGGAGAAATATGAAAGATTGACAGAAGCATTAGTAATAAACCACTGGACAAGTCAACATTATGTTGTTGATCAGAAGAACAAAGCATATCAGCTTGAAGAAAAAAACAAAGTTCATGCAGAGTTGTGGAAAACTGCTTTTTCATTCAGCATACTCGATAACCCAGAAGATTGTTTATTTTTGATGCGGGCTACTGTCAAAACTTTTGAGAAATGTTTCGAAGAAAACGGCCAGAAAATATTTCCAAGTTTTTATCAAGATATCAATTCATGTTGAAATTTCATTACATGAATAATTGTTAGATTCATTCAAGTGCTGTTTACAAGCTAATACATCAGAGAAATTTATTTCGTTGCTGTTTTAGTGTCTTAGGCAAAAACGATAAACTATCATCTTCATTTAAAAGCAAAGAAAAATGCCTGTATTTCCTTTCCATCACATGTTCCCAAATCTGAAACATTCCCATACTAGTAGAGTTAGTAAACTTTCCATCAAAATCGCATTTCTCCTTTCGGAGCTATTGCGTTATAGCTTACAGTAGTTTAAAAAAGTATTGAAATCGAATATGCTGAGCAAACTATTATCAGATGATTCGGATGATTTTGTAAACAAGAATATTATCAAAAACATCATTTGAGACACTATCCACCAACATTTCAAACTGTTTTTGTTTTGTTTTTTGTTAGTCGCAGTGTTCAATAGAGTAGTTGCTGACGAAGTGTTTTACTAGATGATGCAGCTGCGAACAGTATCTCTGGATATGTACAAAGCTGCTGGCATTTTTCTTACGTATGAGTCAGTATTATAAATAAGTTAACCCTTTGTTTACCGACTACGCATATATGTGTCATGAGCTTTATCGTTGCGTGAGACTAACGCAATCACTCATAATGCATGTTGTTTAGCTGAATCATTTCATGTTTTGATAATACAGTGAATATATCTGATAAAGGATAATAG